TGGTGATGGGAAGCATGATGTATTTCGGTGGTTGTCTTGGCATTTAATTTCAAGCAAAGGAACTTGCAGGGGAGTTATTCTTATCTTGAAGTTGTTGTCGTCCTGAATAGAACTTGTGTTGCTGGTTTGGCAAGTGCTAGTGCAAAGCTTGTTGCTTCCTCCATTCTGGTTGCCTGTTGTTGCTTTTGGAAGACATGTGGTTTGTGGTGGATGACATGTATTTTTACATTGCCATAGAGAAAAGGCAGAGAGGGCGTTGATGTGTACTCTTGTCAATCTATTGGTTCTTTGGACGAGGGTTGAATTTCTGCAGTGATGTGGTGGCATCGGGTGGATGTCCTTTGTTCCTCGCATGTGTTTCGTTGGGAGCGCTTTTTTTGGGTATTTCAGGGGTGGTCTTGTTGGTGGCCTTCTATGTTTTTCTTTCCATTTCTCTGTTTCTGAAAGTTTTTCTTTCTTTATATTGTCAAACTTTGTTTCTTTTTCTTTACATCTCTAGTGTAATTTGTTGGTAACAAATTCCACCTTCATAAAAAAAACTCAGAAGTCAACAAAAAGGATTGTCTACCAATGGATATGGAAGCTGATACAAACAACCCAGATAGCTACAAGGGAAAGAACATGGTTGAAATTAGGGGTGGGAAACGGTTTGGTCCGGTTAAAACCGGACTGAATTAACCCAGTTTTTTAAAACCGTTTTGGCCATATCAGCAACCAGGAATTGGATTGGATGGGGATCGGGTTTCAACCGTGACCGGATTGATCCGGTCCGGTTTTAACCAAAAAACCCGGGCTGTGTAGGTTCCCACCTAAACGCTGTCGTCTGCACATTAAAAATAATAACAATGGGACGCTCCGCTTCCCCTCCTCCTAGCCGCACAATCTTTATCTTCTCAATTGTCATCTCCTTTCAGTTTCTTCTCTTCTCCCTCCCCTCTAGCCCTCTTCTTTTACAAATGACGATGGCGAGCGACCCTTTCTCCTGTGAAGCCGATCAAGCAAGGCGTTCAACAACCTCTTCTCCTTCATGTTTACAGGCGATGACCAGCAACAAGCAAGAGGCAGCGACGAGAAGACACAACGGAGAGCGGCAAGCAATAGGTCGTCTATTGACTGAAGTCCCAAGAGCGAGATCGAGATGGGGATTGAAGGAGGCGATAAGCGAAGAGGAAGGGCTTGACGATGCGATTCACCACCATATCCTCCTGGTTTCTCCTCAACGAATCGGTCGTCGGCGAATCGGACAGGAAGGAGGTTATTGGCTGGTTTTTCTTGTCTTCGCCAAGCCTCCGCAGGAACTGGAAATGGAAGAGAGATCGAGGGAAAGACAGCCGCTGAGAAGAGGTGCTGCTTCTCGCAGAAGTGCGGCTGCGCGAGCCAGAGCTAGGGATTAGGGTTAGAAGGGTTTCACTTGGGATTGGGCTTCGTGTATTTGTTGGGCTGGGGATGAGTTTTATTTTTTGTTAGGGCAGGCTTCATTTTACAGATCAATGGGCTTGTTTTGGGCTTATTAATTATGGATCCGGTTTCTCGGTTTTAACCAGATTGGACCAGGATAGTGGTCATTACAACCGCAAATTGGATTGGGTTGCTTGGAATCCGGTTTCCGGTTACAATCGGAACGGTTTAAACTGCCCGGTTTCCAGTTTGACAGAAAAACCGAGACTGGATTCCCAGCCCTAGTTGAAATCATTGGTGAAAGCGCAAAAAATACTATGGTGGCAACTCAAGTTTATCAAGGATTTTGAACAAACACTCTCAATTCACATGTTCAAAAGGCTTCTCAATGTCTAATTTGAAGATTAGACCTTGTTTACCGCTCTTCTTTCTGCTATCAACCACCTCATTAGTAATCAAAGAGGCTTCATGGATTGGCGTCCCCCGAATTCCCGCAAATTGATATCCTAAGATTAACTTGTTCATAACAGATTTCAGCCATTCTGTAACAACCTTGGAGAGCAACTTATTCAAGCTTCCAAGAAGGCTGACGGATCTCAAGTTTCTTGCATCCTCGACAGCCTCTTTTTGGAACAAGTCATAGAAATGAGTGAGCGATGCAGCGAGACAACACACCATTTTGCCAGAAACCATCAAAAGTCTTTCCAATGTCATACTTAACAATCTCCCAACACCTTTTAAAGAAAACAAAAGAATACCCATCTGGCCCGGGAGCCCCATTGCTTCTCTTCATTGCTCTCCATATTTCCTCTTCTGTAAATGGAGCTGTCAAAAAATCTCCATCCACGCCCATAACCTTCAACCTGCCGTAGCCCTCAGGCAAAGGTCGATGTAGCTTAGTTTCATGGAACCTGGAACTGAAATACTCCACAAAAGTAAGTTTGAGCTCCTCTTGGCCTTCCACTGTAACACTGTTAAACTTTAAGTTGCTTATCTATTTCCTCTTCTTGTTGAAGTTTACAAAATTGTGGAAAAAAGTTGTATTCTTATCCCCTTTCTTAAGCCATAACCCCGCGATTTTTGCCTATATGATACTTCCTCCATCAACAACAACTTATCCAGTTCACATTTAAGTAGCCCTCTCTAAGCACACTCATCTTCTGACAAGCTTCCATCTTCTTCCTTTAGATCAAGACAACGAATGCCCTCCAGAATCTCTGGTATCTTAACCTCGTGCTTCCTGAAATCATTTACATTCCATTTCCGTATCTTCTCCTTCACAAGTTTTAATTTTTGACCGAAAAGACAGAGATCATTGGTCCCTTTAGGTTGACAATCCCACCACTCCAACATCTTAGTCATAAAAGACTCCTCCATAAGCCACATATTCTCAATTTCAAGTATCGATGTCTTCTTTCATTCATTCCCCATTCCAGATTAATTGCGAAGTGGGTTGACTCTACCCTTTCTAGTACCACAAGCCTGAAGTTGTTGAAACATGAGTCAAATAGTGGGCAGATGAGAACTCTGTCAATTCTAGAGAGGGTAGGGGATTCTTGCATAGTGTTAAACGTGAATTGAGCCCCACTTAGGGGGAGATCCATCAAGGTTGCGTATGATTTAAAGCTATTGAACTCCTCCATCATTTTTGTGCTTCTCTCTACTTCTTTATAGTCGTTGTGAGACCTAATCAGATTGAAATCCCCTGCAATATAGATAGGTAATGATACACCAGTATAGTAAGCTCTCAATTCTTCCAAAAATTTTATGTTATCACTCCTTTTAAGAGTGACAACTATTTTCTTCGGATCTTTGTCAATTTTTGTGGCATATGATGGACACGAATTTTATTCAAAGATCAATCCATCCTTCTCTAAATGAAAAAGAAGGAAAATGGGGGGCCTTAAAGCCCAAGATTCTGTTGTTTCCCAGTTACAAGCCGAATGGGCCATGATATGGGCTGATTCATTGCCCGTTCGTTTCGTAAAGCTCCAACGAATCGACCCCAAACCCGTCGCCCGTTCCTTGATCTCTCTGGCCATCACACCCAATTCTAGCCTCGTCATTTCCTCCTCCTGGAGAGGCTGGATGGCTGTGAGTCAGTCACTTTCCACAATCGTCGGCCGGAGACCATGCGCTTCCACCATTTGGAGTCCAAAATCAATCGCTCGAAGCTCCGTAAGTTCTGGCGACCACTGAATCCGCTCCCGTCGCACCGCCGTGGGGAGGAATTTCCCCGTCTCATCTCGGACAACCACCTCCAGCCCAATACCTTCTTCTGCCAGCACCTTCGCGTCCACATTCAGCTTCACCTAGCCCTTCTGCCGCGTTTCTCAGGTACATTTCCAGTCCTATTCACCTTCTTTCTCTCCATGGTGTGATGCAATTTGAATTCCTCCCAGTACTCTAGGGCACTTCCAATAATCTCCCACTCCTCCGCCTTTTTCTTGTTGAACATTTGGTCATTCCTTTCATTCCAGATTGACCACAAGATTATACTTAATTTCCCCAGCATCTCATCATCCGTCTTATCCATTACCTCGCATAACCAGCTCCCCGGTGATAGATTAGGTTCCAACTCAAATAGGGGTATGAAAATGAAAGGCCTCCAAATCCCAGTTGCCTACAGACATTCCCTCAAAATGTGGTTTTGAATTTCTTCTAAATTGCAGAATGGGCATTCCGTCGCCGCCCCTTCTTCTTCTGCTAGATGTTCTTACTAGTTGGAAGAATTTCATGGGCCAGTCTCCATAGAAAAATCTTAACTTTTGACGGAATCATCAGCTTTCATAATCTGGTCCAGTCCATAGGATCGTAGACTTCTACATTCATGTCCAGACCGCTCACCTCCGCTTCCTCATCCACTGTGCTGGGTGATCTTTCTTTAGGATTCTTCTATTCGAGCAAATGAATCTAACAGATCGTTTGGTACTAAATGAATCTAAAATTTATTTTGTTTTAAAATGAATTCCTGTGTAGAATTCATTGTCAAATGAATTACTGTGTTTGGTATATGGTATTAGCGTTACAATCAAATTCTTGTCGACATTCCTTATACTGCATGAATTGGCGCCAAATAATATATGTAGAAGTAATTTTGTTAATAAATGAGAATAATTATGTCATTTTATCATAATTGGTAAATAGTTGTGGAATTCATTTGAAAATTCCATCTCAATTCCTCGGAATTGCTATAACTAGTTCCAATTCCGTAGAATTCAAAATTTAGAATTGAAAATGAATTCTTTTAAATACCGAACACAAAAATATTTCATTTCAAAATGAATTGTTAAAAACTTATGGAATTCATTTATACCAAACGGTATGTGAATTAGATTAGAATTCCGCACATTTGATATTTGGCAATTCTAGCCGTACTAAAAAAGTGAGAAGGGACAAAAACCTTAAATGCGTCCACAGCTGATTTTGAACTCGTGCAAAATGCAAACACACTTAACATAGCAGCGGTAGACTATTGTGAAATCATATTTTTCATAATGTCACGCTAGTCCTTTTTAATCCTCTTAGTTCTAAACTTCTCTCTTTACCCCAACTACAATTATATACGCCCCTGTATTTGTACATTCATTTAGTTCATAATCCTTCCAATTAACAATTTCCGCAATGGGATCAAGTCGTTCGGATTCGCAGTCGTCATCCTTGATATCATCACTTTTCTCGATCATTGGCCTCCTCGCCGGTGCAGCAGTTGTCGCCGATGGATCCCGGGAGCCGAAAGTGCCTTGCTATTTCATATTCGGTGACTCTCTGTTCGACCCTGGCAACAACAACAATCTCAATACGACGATGAAAGCCAATTACCCTCCTTACGGCGTCGATTTCCCTTCCGGCGTCGCAACGGGGAGGTACTCCAATGGACGAACCACGGCCGATATAATTGGTGATTTTTATTTATTACATTAATATTATTGATTAGTACTTCTCCAAACTCTTTTTGTCATTAGAGTTTTGTCATTTCATTGATTGACTAACAAGGATTAAATTAGTTGTACAGGTGAACTGCTGGGATTTGAGAGCTTCATCCCGCCATTTGCATCGGCGCCGAACAACTCTGAGATACTCGTCGGGGTGAATTATGCATCTGGCTCCGCCGGACTTCTTCTCGAAACTGGGAAATTCATGGTAAATTAATTTTCTTCGTCAGATTGATCTTGAATCCTTTAGCTAGTTTTCGGACTTGGTCTCATTAATTAGCACCGTTCTCGCTGCCTTGGAATTAGTGGCCTATCGTAAGATGTTCGATCTGAATCATGGTCCACGATTGCGTGATATTTGTTTTCTTTTGGCGAACGTACTTTGTAAGAGAATGGTACAAGATCCGTAATAAAAACGAACTAATTAACTAGCGGTAGAGGGTCTCTTTTATTTGCCTGCATCTAGTTACCACCGAGATGGCAAAGACTATTGAGTACGTATAATATGTTTACCAATATCGTTACAATCATCGATCGAACCATAAGATTTCCGTTGATCGATGGATAATTTTATGAATGTCACATTTACATATTAGGTTTCTTTCTGTATATATACGTACACATTGACACTGGTTTTGGTAGGGTGAGAATATAGACCTGAGCCAGCAACTGAAGAACCACGAACAGACGGTGTCCCGAATAGGTAAGATATTGGGGAGCAAGAAGGCCGCCGATGACCACCTGGCGCAATGCTTGTACATCTGCAACATGGGCAACAACGATTACATCGCTAATTACCTTCAGCCCCAAGTCTCCAACTTCAGCAAGCGCTACAACCCTGACCAGTTCGCCGCATTTCTCGTCGAGCAGTACTCCCACGAGCTCGTGGTGAGTCTATCCGCGAACAAGTGCTTGGTCCAGTGATATTTTACCGTTTGGTTTTGAACTTAGAGGTCTCAGGTACAAATTACTCGTCGATATTTAATTAAAATTCTTGTGACCGTTTTTGTTTAGAGGATGCACGTTATGGGGGCAAGGAAGGTGGGAGTTACGGGCTTGAATCTCATCGGCTGCACGCCGGCTGCCATCGCGATGTACGGAGATAAGGATTTGCTCTGCGTCGATTCGATGAACAAACTGGTGGTGCCGTTCAACGAGCGCCTCAAAGCGATCATCGACAAGCTCAATGTTCGTTTCACCGATGCCAAGTTTGTCTACTTGGACAGCGTAACGGCCGGCGGTATTGCCGGCCAAGGTAAATATATATATTACACACTTTAATTTCTGGCTTATTTAGAAGCAACAAATTTTGAACTGTGGGTTACGTTAATCTTTCAGCGTTTCCAATCAAATCGACGGCTTGCTGTAAGGTGAGCCTGGCGACCGGGATGTGCATTCCGAATGTGGAGCCTTGCAAGACAAGGCGGGCACACGCCTTCTGGGACGCTTTCCACCCTTCCGAGGCCGCCAGCCGCCTCATTGCGCCATTTTACCTTCGGGCTCTCAAAAAGATATTGTAAAGTGAACTACGTACTACTTGGCCTCAATGAGCTCTGATCGGATTGCATATATGTTTCTTTCTTTCTGTCTGGAGATTCATAACTTAGAAAGAAAGGCATATTATATGTGTTGCAGGCTGAGAATAAATGCGCCCTGAAAGAAGAAGGCATATTATACTGAGTGGATGTTGTTATCCGCTTGCTCGTCTATTTTTGTTTATACTATTCACAGGAGCTAGCCTCTTGGCAGAAAGAACTTGATACTAGCTACCAAAAAGTTTTGAAAAGTATAGTTCTTCCCAGTCATACATCTAACATCTGTAATCAAAGTGTTGACAAATGGCAACTGATGATTGGTAAAAGAAACTAGTACAACTCATTTGAAGGGATTCAAAATTTTGGTACAAATTTTAGTGGCAAAAAGATAGTCAACTACAACACTACTCTCTTCTATTTTTTTTTTATTTCTTCTTTTCCCCTCACCCCAAAATTTTTGAAGTTCCTAGCACCGAGAATTCACCTATCCTTCATATCCATCTATAAAATTTTCGATACCAAATATAACATAGTCTAATGGTAAAACTGCAGCGATAGTGAAGGTTTGGGAGGTATAAATCCCAGGTTGGAATCCAAACGAGGACCGTTGTTGTTCTGGGAGGTATAAGCCTGTTGGAGGCGAAGCCCCGTTGGCGTCGAAGTGATTGTAGGTGGCCCCCAAGTTTAGTAGGCCCCACTATCACAAAGTGGCACGTGGGGCTGAGATTCCTGGGTAATAAAAAAAAAATCTATAAATTTTTTGATGAACAACAAACTTAATTATCCTCATCCAATCTACCTCTAATTCATCGCCTAAACCTGATTTTGTCGATTCCCTAGCTCACAAAAATACAACACTCCTCACAATGGCCAAGTATAATCACTACGAGGGACTGCCTACTCCGTGAATGTTCTATTACCTAGCGAGCTGTCGATTTGTGGTGAAATTGTGGAAAACAAAGTAGCAGAGAAAGCAAAAAAATTTCGATTTTCAAATGCAAGAAGGGTCACTTAGACATAGGTATGTGTCCCCCTATCTCTTCAATTAGGTCCAAGTAGTAATACTGGAAATGATCAAACGCTATCCAATTTCTAGATTTTCATACTCTCCACAGCATAACGATCAGCCGCATGACCTTCTCCTATTGATCGTCCTATTCTAGATATCTTCTAAAATACAGTGCAAAGTTAGTGCGCCAATGCTACATCCTTACCATACCAAGACACGAACTATCCAATAACACTACCGCTACGCTACAACCAAGGAACATTTGCTTCATCGTCCCCCGAGTGTTCCATCAAAGTGGGCACCAGAGTAGACAATTTCCACCCTTCTCAATCAGTGCTTCTGCAGGGAGAATCCTTCGCGTGTACGTGGGCATCGATATGGGCTAACACAGCATGACACAGTTAGAGCACGGCAAGAGCACGGACACAAAACATATGTGCCTGCACGGCACGAACACGAATACTTCATGAGCCATGTCGGGGCTAAACTAAAATTTTCAAAATCCATCACAAATCCATGGTTTTCTAAAATCTAGATTCTGACCAAAATTCTCACTTTTCAAATCCAACTAGCAAACAACCCTTGAATAACAACAAAATCCACCACAAAATCCAACAAACAAACAACAAAATTTTCAAAATCCATTACAAAACCATGGTTTTCTAAAATCTAGATTCTAACCAAAATTCTCACTTTTCAATTACAACTAGTAAACAACCCTTAAATCTCAATGTTTCTCTTGTTGTTGATGAATGTCAAACTCATGGTGTCTAGGGTTGGGCATTCGGTCAGTTCAGTTTCGACCGAACCAAAATTATGAATATCGGGTCCTCGAATTCTCCCAAACCTCAAACCGAATATAATTCGGTTCGGTTCAGGTTTTCACACAAAATCTAATTTGTGAGGCTACTTGTATCTTCTCACTTTTAGATTATTTTTTACCCTAATATAAACAATAAATATGCAATTATATGCATCATCAATGATAAGATCAAACTTGTTAACACATACGTCATTAAATATTTCAAATATATAAGTCTAAACACAACTACAAACATAAAGATTCACCATTTAGAGCTTGCAATTACAGTATTTTAGTTTTTCGGTCGGAATTTTGGTTCGGTTGAAAGAACTCTGATTTCCGAAATATCCATATTTTTCTTTCGAATTCCGAACCGAATAGCATTATTTCAGTTTCGGTTCGGGTCAGTTCGGATTTACCGAACCGATTGCCCACCCCTAATGGTGTCTATGGCTTTGAATTTTTTATACAAATATGTGGACCCCCAATTTTGTAAATCATACAGAGTTGTAAATCTCACACCAATCTTTCGGGTTTGGTTCGAGGAACCAAAATCATAGTGAGCAATTACCTTCTGGTCCACTTGATAATTCATTATTCCAGCTATGCTCTTGTCTGCGAAAAAACTAGCGTCTCTTTTCATAATTCCTTTAGTTCTTCAACTTGCCAGGGAAGAAGAAAGCATTAGCAAACCCAACGAGTCCGAGACCAGAAAAGAACTTGAGTTTGAGATATCACGTTCTCCATCTATTTGCGCCTAGAAAGTCCTAGGTGGTTGATGAAGCACGAACGAGACGTCTGTTCCTGGCGGAGGGAACTTACTCCTGAGACCTATAAATAATCCATGGGCGGTTTCTCAGGACACTCTTTGATGCTGAAGTTAGAAAGAGAAATAGAAAGATTGGTTATATTAAGAGAGAAGGGAAGTAATTGAGTTACCAACAATGCTCATGTGAGTGTATTTATACTCAGTTAGATGGAGATTGGGGCATCAAATGCTATGCCAGGCGCCCTGAACTCATCCCATCTTCTAAGAGACCGCCTGCAGTGGGTAATTAATGCTCAGTTATGCCTGCACGACGTAATTATATCCTGGCAGATCTCCTCTTGTCAACTATCAGCCCTATATGTCAGGCGGTCTAACTGTTGTCCCATCCGAGGTAGGCTGCCCACCTACTTGACCTACCAGAGCGACCTTTCTCTCCCCTTGCGGGAATGAGTTGTCTGATACCTCTATTGGGCCTTGAAGCCCAATATCGCTCAACATGTGGCCCAACAAAAGCCCTTTAGGTGTAAAAAGTTTTGGATTTTGGCAGCTAACTAAGTAGTCTTTCTGCGTGTTGAGCGGCTTGTCTTTCCTAACACGACCCCCCCCCCCAATGTGCCCCTTGTCGGCCAAAAAAACATAGATGACACGCCTAAGGGTCGTACGCCCAACCTCCAACACATCTAATAAGCTTCTTATTTCAATGTCTCCTGTTGTTGGGTGCAATAGCTCTTTGTGAAGTGATCTTACTTTTTTCATTGAAAGGAGGCAGCAAGCGCCAAGATTACAATAGTCGAGGGCTAATTACTCCATAAGCAGCAAAACCGACGGGGTGAAGAAGAGACACCTAACTGAAATTCAGGAAACATGTGTATGGTGCACTTGTTTGGGAAAGTTGATCCCATAATGTCCTCAAGACAAAGTCTATGAAGCTCTAGTGGGAGATAGTCAAGCTCATGCGTACCAAAAGGATCAATGAGATTGTCCTTCGAGAGGCACAGTCTGCAACTTTATTGCTCCATGGATTGTTGCAGAGTCTTCGGCTATATGTGTGAACCGGGCTAACCACCAATTCCTTTGCCAAAATTCACCGAATTGCTCCATGGATCATTGCATAGGGGTGCACATTGTCGCTTATCTTCTCAATCATGCAGAGCTAGCTGGTGGAATATGTCTCCTTAATGAGAAATTGAGTGCTTTTTTCAAGCAAGCTCCAGCCCTTGAAGAATCCCCCAGAGCTCTGCCAGTAGGTTGTTCTCGTCCCTAGTTTACTGCAGAAACATCTGAGTCAATCCCCATTAAGGTCTCATAATACACCTCCCACCATAACGTACCATTCCCAAGTTGCTTTGAGAAACCCCATCCGTATTGAGCTTGTACCATCCAACTAGAAGTTTTTCTACATCCAATCAAAGCTTTAACTCAGCTAGAATGTGTGATTCCCCCGAGAATATGGATTTAAATGGATTGAATTGATTGGATACATGTGTATTTATTAAATTATGTAAAGGGCTTAAACTCGAGTTTGAGAGCAGATGTTGAAGATTATTGATTTTCTACACTTCCAAGTTTTATCCCACCAACCATGCCCTCCCATATCAATTGATGATTTGAATTCTTCCCAGAAATTGAGCGTGTTTCGGACAACAGAAATACATGCGTTACACATGATATGACAAGCCATGTATATATATCACAGTAGTAGAGAATACTGGGGGGTAACAGTTTAGTGATAATAATAATAATGACGACCAACAGCCTTTATAAGTTTAAGCGACAACAACGAAGCCGAAAAATGAAGCTTTCACAGAAAATCACATCACTTGCAAAAGAGGAACATAGGGAGATTACAAAGTTAGCCCACAATAGTAGTACTAAAGGGAAAATACTTGATTGTCCTTTTCTCTCGAAAGGCTGAGGAAAGAGCAAAGACAATGTCTAGTATCTCCAATGCGTTTTTTCATTATACTTCACAACACTTGTTCTTATATATATGCATTTGGTGCCATACACCTGCACAAGATATGCCCTTCTTACAGACTCTGTAAGAGAGAGCAGAAATGGCTTCCCTTACTTCTCCATTGGAGCACTAGCACTCAACTGCCAAAGGAAAATCACACAAACTTAGAGATGATAAATGCAAATGGTTTCTAGTTATGATGGAAGGGAGAGACATGGCTTCTCTTACACCAGCTGAAGTGCAATGTGGTCTTGTTGAGGGTAATGGTTGGTGGGCTGTAAAGCATTGACTTGGAAGTAGTTTCGAGAGTCGAACTGCTGGTGAGGCTGCACGATCTCGTAGCTGCTACTCCCTCCTGGCATCAAGCTCATGCCCTGCTGCTTCCTTTCATTCTCAGCAATCTGCAATACAACCATTCCACCGTCAGTGCACAAACTCACAACTCAGTCATATACAGTGACTCCATTGGGAATTCACATATTAAGAGCTTAGTCAATATTGGAAGTACAGATGAAATCAAGAGCTAACCTTTGTACGAAGAAGCTGGTTATTGTTGTGCAAATCAATTTCCTGCATCATTTAATTTGCAAAAATTCGTTAGCTAAGAGACTAAGGAAATTTGAACACAAAGGTGGTTTTGCTAAATCTGCTCACAAATTGGCACCCTATTCCAAAATTGCAGCATTAGGGCTCAGAATCTAATACTCATAGATGAAAAATTAAGCAAAAAAGAGAGTTACCCTTTTCTGCATATACTCTATCTCTGCGAATAGCAGCTCATTCTGACGGGGAGAAGAAAATTTGGAAGAGTCAGGAAGAGCTACAAATACAGTGTTGAAGCTAGAAATGGGATGAGAGAAGTACTGTGGTAGCGAAACCAAAAGAACGGCACCTTTTTGGAACGGATTCTGCTGATTCCTTTCTCTAGTTTGCTCTCCAAGTTCTTGAGCTCCTTGGCATTCAGGCCTCCAAGTGACTCACCAAGCATGTGTCTAGAAGAAGAGCCACAGTTGTTTGCCAACATAGCAAGATTCCTGTTAAAAGCCTTAAAGACCTGTTCTACATATATTCACAGCTTGTCATTCAAGAATTACCTGTTTGTGTTCAGCAAGTTCCCAATCTGCTGCCGCAGCTTGGCAGCTTCTTGCTGGTAGTACTGAAGAAACAAACCATTTTGGATACAGAGTTGGGAACATTGTCGAAAAAGTTAGTACTGCTGGAGTGAAAATAGACAACTATAGAGAACAAACAAAAGTATCAATATCTAACCAGGAGTCCAAACCATGAATTTTCTGTTTCGGGTAAAACCTTAAACCCTAACAGCCAATAAAGTTAGGTTATTGGAGCACTTCTACTATGCTATATAGTATTGGTGCTTTAATGTACAACTTAAAGTTGTACCATAACATTAAATGTATAAGTTTAGATTGTACCATAAAGCAATTTGTACCATTATGTTATGGTACAACTTTACAACTTAAAGTTGTACCATCACATAAGGTACAAGTTCAAGTTGTACCATAAAAGAATTTGTACCAAGAGTATAGGTACAATATGAAGTTGTACCATATCGTAAATGTACAATTTTAAGTTGTACCATAAAGATAAAATCCTATAGCACCAATACTATATAGCATTGTAAAATTTCTCTAGGTTATTGACCTAGAATAGTTACAATCAGTCACAATCAACAACGTTTTCTTTTAGGCAAATCAATCAGCAGCCAGTCAAGATGTTTCCAGGGACACAGACTATGAAAGGCTGATGGGAAGGGCAAGCCACATTTCCCAATGAGTAAAATACCTTATTTCTTTTTATTTTTTGTTGAATACTCAAGGACGCATTGATCCTTTAATGTATAGAAGTAGTTTCTAACGAGGAATTTTACAATGCTATATAGCATTGGTGCTATAGGTTTTTGTTTTTATGGTACAACTTGAAGTTGTACCTTTAACGTTATGGTATACAACTTCATATTGTACTTATACTATTTTGTACAAATTCTTTTATGGTACAACTTGAACTTGTACCATAACATAAGGGTACAACTTTCTTTATGGTACAACATGAAATTATACATTTAAATTATGGTACAAATTTAAGTTATACATTAAAGCACCAATACTTTATAGCATAGTAGAAGTGCTCGTTTCTAACAGTAGTTGTTAGAGAAGAACAGTGAATTGAAGACAGTGAAGCAATAGGAAATAATAAGAAATAGTTGTCTTCGCTTGTTTGTCTAGGGTACACGTTCATTATATCGACCTCGACGAGTCAATGCAATAATAATGCAAGGATGAAAATATAACGTTGCGACCATTAAAGACCCCCGACGAAAACCTACTTTGTATACCTGAGCATTGGCCTCAGCAACAGATCCAGTGTTTGTAGCGTCTGAATTGGCCTTCTTGTACCTTTCAATTGTGGCTTTAACACTGCATCACAGCCACAGCAAACATTAGCATCAGTATTACATATGAATTAAACTAAAGGGAGCACATTACAGCAGCAATTATCTTAATCATGCCATGAAAGCAATCTTAATAATTGCAGAACGTTTGGGAAGTAGTGACAAGTGAACTGAATGGGCCACATACATCTCTTACAAAAACCAGAAACTTGATTTATTTGGACTCAAATGATTATCGACCCAACATGGGACATCTAATGTCATGATAATGTGCATGATTAGGATCAGGAAATAAGATCAATGAATGCCCCACAGCCGGTGCACCCAATGAACCATTAACACTACTTCCACTTGCTAGCAATCCTTAGTTTCCTTAACCGTGTTATTGATCATTCGAATCCATCAGAAACCAATAGATACAAAGCTCAAACACCAATAGATACAAAGCTCAAACGATTGATCGAAATGAGGAATAAAAATAAAAATTTCTCAACTTATAAAGACATAAACAAATTGGTTTTCGATTCTTCAAACGAGCTGATAGATGTACTTCCACATGTATAAGTCGAATTGAATCCCTAAATGAAATGCTATAATAACACGGACTAATACCGACCTATTGTCTGACTAGTGTCACTTTTGTTCTTTTTGTGAAAGACTAATAGATATCTAGTATATAATCCTTAATTTAATAATTTATAGCTGCAAAAATGAACTTCACCAAATTATTGTTGGATTGACTTGGTTTTGCAGGCAGAAGAGGTGACATGACCTGTTCACTCATCCTACTAGGAAAAGTGATGTAATAAAATAGTCAAATCAAATAAAATAAACCCACTCTCCAAAAACTGGCGAAGATGATCCTAATACGAAACCCTTTTTAGGTTAGGGTAACAGGATATTGAATGTCCCAAAATCCCACTCCCTCTAGTCAGAACTCAGAAGGAACTGATTTTCACTGACTTTAAAAATCTTGACAGGAATATAGCATTATTTTAATGGGATAACGAATACTTAGAAGTTAGAAGAATGGTTGAAAATCCATTCGCGTCAAAACCGAAAAGACCCCTTCTTTCATAGGGTAGCTGCCCTGATACCTTAACTTCCTCGAGCAACTGATTGGCTGCCGCGTGCCAGCTCGGCAATGTCATAGCAAAACGTGACTGGTTGGACCTCATCAACGGTCAGCCATAACTCCACGTGTCACGAACCCATTACCCGGCGGGTAATCCCCTAAACCCACAACCTTAATACCCACCTCGAACAAAACTAATCAATCCCATCCCACCCATTTAAGCCCTTTGCCAGTGCACCAACTGACGAACCGAGAGAGACAACAGAAAAGGGTATTTTCCTTTTATTTTCCTTTTCTAATTTTTAGATCAAATCATAGCCGTCCAAAATAGCAGCAGGGCTATAATTGAACGTAGAAAAAACCTTAAAAGGAAAAAAAGAGGGGAAAAAAACAGAAAACCCTTCATCGGCTCCCCTCAGCTGTCGTACGGCTTGTTTCCTGTTTTCTCTCTCTGCTGCTCTGCTGCAAAACTTCATCTTTCTAGTTTTTCTCTCTTCTCAAAAATCAAAACCCTCTATCCCAGAAGAAGGGTTGCATAAACTGGATCTAATAGTAAGATACTTTCGATGGAAGCGACCGCAGAGAGTTGTTTTACATTAATGGCCAAACAGTGCCATCATCATCATGATCTTGTGTACACGAGAAGCCCCTAACCAGAGAATCTAAACTTGTGAGGAGAAGATCAACTGGTCCAACCCCTTTTCAACATTTGCAGCACCCCATTTTCTCCAATTTACAGAAATTTAGGGTTTGGGGAAATATGACACCACTAAAATTTTAACTCTAGCTACCAGAAGTGTGTCAGAAGTCAAGGAAGGAACTGCAAAATCGCGCGGTGACGTGACCAAAGATTCCTTTTTTTGCTAAAGAACCCACCCAGAAAGAAAAAAACCCACCATCACTCCTTAACTGAAACCCACTCCCGGAAAAGCAATCCGCCTGATTCAAGAACAAACCCAGTTACCCTTTCTTCTCAGTAGAAGGGGTAGAAAAATGAACTATTCTTTTGATTTTATGGGTATCTGAATTTTGATTGGTGGGTAATGAGAGAGAGAGAGAGAGAGAGAGAGAGAGAGAGAGAATGTGAAGAAGATCTTTGTATAGTTTTGTGTTGCTTGATTTTGAGGATTACCTCATCCCCCAAACAACCTCAAATGATACAAATACTATGAAGCCCTAATTTGTGGTGTTTCTTTTTTTATTTCCCTCCGTCTGAGGTTTGAGACTGCAAGGAAAAGATTGAGAGCTTTCTATCACTTCTCACTTCTCTTCTCCCACGTGGGTCTATAGCACAACTTGGATTTGGGAGAGAACTCTAGCATCTGTATCAATATGTAAACTAAACAAATAAGAACAAAGACTATTACTGAAACAATATTTGTGAACTATATGAATTTATTTTAACAATAACGAATTTGTCATTCGTAAATATGATTTTATATTAGCTACATGGTTATATTAGTAATGATTAGTTAACAATTTTTTTTACTATATCCTTTCTCAAACCAAACGAAATCTCTAAAATTGGATCGAGTGTGTTGACTCCAAGATTCAAACTCAACTTAGGACATTTTAAATGTGTTTATGCCTAATCAGTGATTGAGTTGGTGCCATGGTGTAGATAGAATCTTTTGTGTGTAATATTGTATAGTTCAAATTAGGGTGTAAGCCTTATAACCTTTGGGTTTTCTATTCTCTTCAGTTTTGTATAGGTTTCGCTTGATTGAAACCCTATTATTGACAAGTTTCTGTTTCCTTGACGAGAGTTACTGACAAGGGTTTCCTCCTTTCATTTTTTACCATTGACATGATCTGTACTTCCTTCTTGCCTTCCTTTTCCTTCCTCTCTTTGATGTGTGAAGAAGAAAGAAACTGACGTGCTACTAAGGAAGTTTCAAAACACGACCTCACTCAAAAGGGGCTTTCCCAATCTAATGAAGGAGGAAGCATGACACCATCCATAGCCTCCATTTCTTTCCTTGCCTCTCTCTCCCACAAACTCACAGTGAAGAAAGAAAGTTTGACAGTAAGAAAGAGGCTGTCTCCATACCCCTCATTTCTCTCTTAGAGAGAAGAAGCAAAACTGAAACAGAAACACTAGTGCAGATATGAGAATTCCCCAAAACAAAAAAAAAAAGGAAATTTTAACTGGAAGTGGGAGATGAGAATGGGAAGACTCACTGGCCCCTCATAGATTCCAAACAAACCCACCCTTCTTCTTTATTACACCATTTCTTTGTTTTTCCTTCTCTATGCTTACCACAATTTCTTACAGCACTAGAGAAAGTAGAAATTGAGAATTTGAATACAAGGGGTAAAATGGATAAATAAAATGGGTAGCTATTTCCATGTCTTACCCACACGCCAGATCTACTATGTCATCTAACCGCACACCCTCAGAATCATCGGCGGATCTAGGGTTGGGCCAATCCGGGCCACGGCCCAGCCCTTCACCGGATCCAAAGCTAGTAAAGAGCTTATAAATTTTTCGATTTTAGGTATTCGTTCCAGTATTATTTAATGGACGGTCGAGTGTTATTTGATAATAAATTTTGTATAGTTAGAAAAATGGTGTAGATGAACATATGCAAACTATTACTCTCAATTTAGTCTAGGAATTCTAGCCCGAATTATATTCATTGGAAAAAAAAAACATAAAACCTAAAGGTCTAAATTTAAAAGAGTGTATAAAGTTTCATTGAAATAGGAAAACCCTCTAAGCAAATTGATTTGTTGGTTGATTCTTCTAGTGTTGACCTTGCCGTTTCAACGGCTACCATGGAGAGAACATTTTAAGCAATAAAATATGTGAAAACTAATTTGCGCAACAAAATGCTTGATGAATTTCTCGTTGATTGCTTAGCTATTTTCTTTGAGAGAGAGTACGCTATTGATAATGATGGAGATTCTATTATTATTGATGGATTTGCAAAATTAAAAAACCTTCTATTACAATTGGCATTGAAATGAATGAAAACTATTGTTATCATATATTTTTGGGTAAATACAATTTATTAGTCAAACCTTTTAGACTTTACAAATTATTACCCAAACCTTTCGAAATACAAAATATTAGCTAAATCTTTTGTAACACATCAAAATATTAGCCATTTGTCTGTTACCGTGGTAATTTTGTAACTATTTTTTTATTTGAAATACTAAAATTTTAAACGTTGAATATTTTTTTTTACAATATATAATATTATATTAAAATGCGGCCCAGTGCTCTACTGTGTTCTAGATCCGCCGCTGCTCAGAATTTCACTTCCCAGCTCAAACCCAATACCCACTTTGAGCTTATAAAGGAAAACCGAAAGCTAAACAACACGACTGCAAACTTGAAAGGCAGAACTGATTGGTCTTGGTTTGGAGGTGAAAGTAAGCAAGGTAATTGCATAAAAAAAATGGTTGGAAAATTAAGAATAAAACAAGGACAGACACTCTCAATCTGAATCTATCGAGCAAAACAAGATTAAGAAAAAAAGGTTGGAGAATTAAGTGGAAATGAAAGAGAGAAAAGGTGGTTGTTCTTCTGCTTCAAATCCAGCCAAGATCTGGTTCTTGAAGCAACAAAAATCAAAACTTTCACTTGCTAGGTAATAAGACAAACATTTCCTCAACTAACCCTTTATTTTATTTAAGCAGGTAATCATTTGAAGGGGTGTAAAAATGAAAACAAACTTATAAAGCCCTAAGAAATGAGGGCTGAAATTAACATGCCTGCCCTTCAGGAAGAGAGAACAAAGAAAGGGGAAACGAAGACCAAAATAAAATATTAAGAAAAAAGTGAATGAAGGGTTTCGTTTCCTTTATTTCATAGATCGACAGTAGATTAAGTATAAAACAAGAACCGTAATTGAATTTCCCGAGATGGAGAAGGGAAGGCAACCATGATACACAAGATTTAATTTCAATTATTATTACCTGTTGTTGGCATACTCATAGAGGCGGCCACGGCTGGAGAAGACAATAAGAGCAACCTCAGCATCACAAAGCACAGACAGTTCATATGCCTTCTTCAGCAGACCATTCCTCCTCTTGCAGAAAGTGACCTGCCTGTTAGTTGTGTTCTCGATCCGCTTGATCTCGATTTTCCCTCTCCCTATCTTCCTCGTTGGCGAATCCTCCCTCGAATCGCTATGGTAACCGGCCATCGAATATCCCCAATTCACCTGCTGCTTACCCTTTTGTTATACATCCAAAAACCACACAGTAGCCCATGACTGAGTCAATAAAAAAACAATGAAAGGCAGCTGTAGAATCACACAAACCCACCAAACCCATGTTGCCAAATCGCCTAAAGCTTCAAACTTTGGAGAGATTTGGATGAGAAAATGGAAGGGGAGGGAAAATTAGTTATATGGATATTATGGTGTAGAGGTTGCCAAAATGGTGAAAATCAAAACCTCCACACAAACTAGCTAGTTGATTAGTTCCTCAAGTAACCATATGTAAAAAGGGGAAGTAATTAGTTTGAGTATTAGGTTGGGAATTAAGGGAGATGAGATTGCTGCAGGGGTTGGAAATGTGAAAGAGATTGGTGAAACCCCAAAACAAGTGAAGCAATGACCTAGATTGTGGGAAATTATGTCTCAAATGTTTTAGGTAAGTTGAAAAAATTTACCTTTTGGAGGAAAAATGAGACCCCCAAGGAGATGAGAGCAAAGAGAAAGGGATGATGGATTTGGGAGTAAGGGGGGAAGAGGGGCAAGATTTTGGCTGGTGGGTGGGAAGGATGGATATATGATGATAGGTAATTAATCTAAGGGTATCTTCTTTTGCTCTATTTGGCTTAAGGGGTGTGAGAGAGATGAGAGTGGAGAGCTTTGAGGTTTCTTCTCTCTTCCTGCTAACAATCTCTGCGTGTAAAGGAGGATGAGAAAGAGATGCAGAAAATGGAAGCAAAGAAGGAGATAAGAGGAGAGGGTCTATTTATAAAGTAAACAATGACCTTTCATCCCCTCTTGCACACCCCCAAACATTGAAACACAAAATTATTTCCTTGATATCAATTTGTATTATTGTTGTCTTGTCTATTTGGTTTAGTTCAGTGTTTAGTGTTTACTCTCTCCTAATTAAGTTATTTCCTTTTCTTACTTTATCTCGTGAGTGTGATTTTAGGTTCTTTTTCATCTTTCGATTATTGAGTGGTGTATGTGTTGATTGTTGAAGAACAATATGCTTGAAAAGGGTCATTAGCTGGATACTAATTCTGTTAATCGGCCTTTACAGATTTAAAACTCGAGCTCTTCAAGAATCAATCCCTTCTATGCTTTATGCTAAGACAGCAATACCTTCTCTGCCTTCCCCGTAAAATAGTACTTATTCTGAATGTGTTTTAACCCATTAGAAGTTATGATATCTTTGTCTTTGGGAAATTTGCAATTTGGTAATTAAGATATTGCTTAGGAGAAGGTTGTCAACCGATTTATACTATTGCAATGATTTAACAAGTGGTATGATCCGGTTGGGGTATAATCAGTTTATATGCTAGCTTGTATCGTTTTCACCAAAACGTATGAGGAAGCTGGTATAATAGTGATATGATGTTAGTATGAGGTGTTACGTTTAACAAAATAATTTGATAACCTTATATCAGTATTATATCAATTTGTAAGCTGGTATAATATATTATGATATGATACTGATATGAAGCTGGTATAAGGTCTTATTTGTGATAAAACAATAACAAAATGGATATTAATTTGTGAATGTTACATCATGTGTTCTTCCTATACAATATCTTTTAATTTCTTAGTTAAAATGAAGGAGATGTGTTATAATGCCACTGTCATATCATGATGATATTATAGTGGTAATACAATAATCGACACGTGTTTTGAAGAATTCTTTTTTTTTCTTTTCTCAAAATATAGCAAAATAGATCTAATTAATGTGTAGATCATGAATTCATGATTAATGTGATCTTTCTATAAAAAAAAATTCCAAATTCCAACTTAAAACGAATGCCATAGGGTCAGATTAAGAAAAATAGGGATTTGAAAACATAATCTCTCTCTTCTCTAATACGTGTCGGCCAGTGAAAAAATAAATCAGAGGGGTGACGGAATTACCGTCCACTCGTCTTACTTTTTTGTATGAAATTAATCTAGACTATTAAATAGAGAATGAAATGGAGAGTGGGTGATGAGATTTTGTAAAAGTTTTGTTGGATAGGGTTCCATAAAAAACTAATAAAAGACAATACATAAATTAATGGGTTATAGGTATAATATGCCTCTCTACTATGACGCTTCATCAAACATGCCTCTCTACTATTTTTTACATCAAACATGCCCCTGTACTTTGTAAAAATGATCAAACATGCCCTTTTGTTAAATTTTCATCCAAAAACCGTTAACCAAGGCCGAACTTTAGTTTGGACGACACAAATGACTAAAATATCCATAATAAATTCACTTTAGAATTTTTTTCGTTTTTTTTGTATAATCAAATCATTCAAATAATTTCACTTTGAAAAGACCCAGGGAAATAAAACAGGTGACAAAACTGACATTTTCCCTCCCATTTGCCGATGTCGGGTCATCTAAATCTCGGTTCAACCACGATTGACGATTTTTTCAATGAAAATTTTAACAGAAGGGCATGTTTGATAATTTTTCAAAGTACAGGGGCATATTTGATGTAAAAAATATAGAGGGGCATGTTTGATAAAACGTCATAGTAGAGGGGCATATTATACCTATAACCCTAAATTAATAATATTTAGTGGTCGGCTCAATCGACCTATGAGATCGCAGCTGAAGTTGGTCTTGTAACATATCCTTGGCCATCTTTTTTTGACAGGTTAATTTTGATTGCAAATGAGTCAAGTCCAGAGGAAAAAGTACGTAAACAACATACAAACATTACACACCCAAGGAGCAATGATCAAGACCCAACAACCGACTCGAGACCCAATAGGCCCTAGTCAAAGCCCAACCCGAGTCCTGATCACAAATCCTAGCTTCCTATGGTTTGACCATGAAACCGTCATCGCCGCTGGCATCACCTAGCAAACCTTTCTCCCACAACCACAAGCCATGGACGACGACCAAGCATCAAGAAAGGCAAGTCGGCGTCAACCACCCCAGACTGAGGACAACGAGAGAGCATGAAAAGCCCCAACAAACGCCTCGCCGAATCAAACTCCAGTAGCTCTCCACTGACAAAATCAAAGCGAGCAACTTCTGGTCGAGAGAGCGGTCGGTGACAGGCCATGGTGGTGTCCTTCTGTCTTTAAGATCTTCCCTCCGAGGCCATAGCTGAGAGCCACATCTCTGGACCACCCAAATCTACATGGTGAAACAAGGAGGTAGATGAAGGAAGAGAGGAGGAGAAGACAAGCCGAAATCAAAGAGATCTGACCACCTTTGCATCTAAGTTCAGCAGCATATCCAGATCGAACATATCAAATCAGAGGATAAAATCCCAACCCAATTAAGGGGAGGAAAGACACCCACAAAGTGGAAGAACAAAGCCAATCCATGACTGGAAAATGAAAAATCAAAGAGAGGGAAAATAAGGAATAAATGACATGAAACTGGAAAAGAGAAGAAAGAAAAAAAAAAGGGGGGAAACAGGGAGGAAGGATGGGTTGCCGACAGTCTCCAAGAAATACTGATGATGCCCTTTCAACTTTCACGGGTTAAAGCAAGAGAGAAGGGAGAGGAACCAGGATATGTTCTACCATGAGGTAGAGATCCCACACCCGAAGGACTGGAACCAGGATATGTTCTACCGCGAGATAGCTCGACGCGCCTACAGGGCGGACTACTTCAACGCCGGCCAGACGTACGTCTCCACCATCAGGTCGTAGTGGCACATCCTGAACCTGCTGATCACCCGCTCGATCGTCCCCAACGCCACTGGTTTGCACAAGATCCCGAAGCGGGTGCTCTACGCTATGTACTCAATGGGGAACCTGGAGCACATGTTACATTTGGGTTTTTTCGTGGCCACCACCTTCTCTAGGTGCCACGGGAAACCCAACCACCTCTTCTGTGGTCCCCTGATCACCCGACTGGCGCGCCACTTCGAGATTGACCTGGAGGGACTCGCGGATGCTTCAGCACGGGGCGGGTCCACCCCCCTCGGCCGGGAGGTGCTCCATAACGTGCTTCTACTGGCCTCTGATGGAGCGCGCTCCTGGGTGGATGTGTTGTCTCTGCCTCCCAAGGAGCATGCAGATCGTGATGAGGATGAGGAAGACGAGGACTACATTGGCGAGGAGGAGGCCGAGGATGATGATGATGATGGCGGGGCCATGGATGCTGATGAGTCGGAGCCCCCGCTATCCCACCAGGGGACCTTCAGCCACGACGGAGATCCGAGAGAGGCGAGTCCTCCTCTAGTCCTTCTGGTCCATCGATGGCTTCTGGCCCGTCGATGGACTTCTCACGGAGCAGTTCCAGCAGATGGGGCTCCAGTTTCAGTAGCTCGGGCTCCAGAACCAGTAGCTCATGGACCATCAGGTCCAGTTCTACTAGCACTATTCGGCCCACCAGGCCGAGTACCAGTCACGGATGACGGTTGTGGACGAGCGCCTCGACCGGATGGAGGCTCAGCTGGGAGTCACTAGTGCTCGCATCGAGCGAGAGCGGGAACGTAGCCGCCGGATGATGGAGTACCAGGAGCACCTACTCCAGTCATGCCACCCGCCTCAGGAGCACCACTGGACCACCCGGTGGGACCACTCACCACCCCTGCCATCACCGAAAGATGGGGTTGACGACCTCATGGACCAGATCGAATTCACCGGGCTCGAGTAGGCTGTACTCGTGGCCCGTCTTGTGTTGCTTTTGTTTGATTCGGGGGTGCAAACTGTCTTGTGTTTTTGTTTCTTTTCTTTTCTTTTGGATGATGTACTATTGGGATGATAATTAGACCTAACGTATTGTGGCTGAGTTTTTGTGTTCCCTTTAGCTGTGCCTTTGCGCCGACTGGTCCACTCTCCAGTCCTCTTCACTCAGACTGGTCCCCTCCAGTCTCATGCAGTCCGTGCACACCGGTAACATCGTTCCCCTTATCCTTCCCTCTTCTCCATTGCGGGCAATGTCGAACTTAAGTGTGGGTGGGGGGGATGTTTTTATTTTGACTGCATTAGATCTGTTTGTGTGCTTAGAGCCTAGTCCACTGTCCAAATCTCGATTTGAGGGCTCCAAGTACGTGTTTCCTTGCAAATTGCCTGCTCATTATGCTTTGAATTGACAATCTCTATAGTAATGTGTAACCAAGGGAGGTCGTGTAGCACTATGGAGGATGTTGAAGTATAAGATTTTTCCTATCTAGCTCTCTGTTGTGCCAGTTGATTTTGTGAATTAGTGGAGCTAAGACTGTTGAATTCATGTGGTAATGGTGCTCATGAACTCGTGTGGGAAACATGGTGCTCATGTGGGAAATGAAAAACAGTTGGACCTCCATGTCGAAATCATTGCAATCTTAAACCTGGGGTAAGCCCAAAGTGTGTGGCACCGTTCATTGCACAAAATCGGGTTTTGGAAGAGATTTTAGTGATCCTTAGTGGGGTACTTCTAAAAGGTGAAGCTAAACTGTCTCTAGTACAAGTACAACTTCCACCCGTTGAATGGTTTGCCTACTCGAGGATGTGTTTTTAAGGGCACGGATAGAGCTTCCGACCCCCCTTAATTTCATTGACCCTCTACACGAGTTGAGGTAAAGGAGTTAAAAGAAGTATTCTGGCGAGCGCCAGATGTACAGTAATTGCTCTTGCTCGACTAATAAGGGTCGACCGTGCACAAGACTGCAGTTGGAACCCCCACCAAGTGAATGAAAAAAAACAAAAGAGAAGTGTAAAATGAAAGTGCAAAAAAGGGGTTCCAAAGGTGAAATGAAGTGAAAGAGCACCCCGGGACAATGAGTCATTGGTTGTGAATGGTGTGAGTCCCCTTATCCATGAACTGGCTGTCTTATTTCCACTTCTTCTCATGATCCTGGCTTGAGTCTAGTACTCGCATTGAGAGAGATAGGAAACTTCTTAGA